CGACCAATGGAATCTTAGCCGAAACCTAAAATTCGTTGGCTACCGGTTCATGGTGGGCAACGTTTTACACAACAGTAATGACAATTTAATAGTCAGTTTTGGGGTACAGGTTCTGTGATTAGATGGCGACGCGTAATAGCAATGTACGGGAATGTGGTTGACGTTGAAGTGATCCATAGTCACGACGATTATTGGGACCGTACTCAAAGCAGACGAAAATTAGTTGATGCTCCGCCATAAACACTGCACAACCGCCATGTTTCGATGTGACTTTATCTCCTTATTTGGAGAGACCAGGTCTCCATCCCACGAAAATTGGAATAGTTACCAGATAGACTACCAAAGTAGTTACCGGGTCCCGGTGGAAAATGCTTCGCCCAAAAGTAATGGAAATTAGAGGGTCAAGTATGTCTACACATTGTGTGATTAGACTGCGACGCGCGATCAAAATTAATTGGACTGCGATTCACTATGAATTAAACATTAGTCACGGCGATCACTGGGATTATACTCAAAGAGGATGGAAATTAAACATTGCTTACCCTACAACCCTGCACTACCACGACTGGTTTCGATGTAAATTCACATCATCATTTGAAGACAGCAGATCCTGATCCCGCGACTATTTATTAATAGCCGAAAACTCTACTGAATTTGCTGCCGACTTCAGGTATGAAACGCATGGCACAATGGTTACGACTAATTGGATAGTCGGGTTTGTACTACACGTTGTGTGATTGCATTGTGACGCGCAATCTCTGTTTAACGGACTGTGTTTCACCTTGAAGTGTACCATAGTCACGCTGATCATTTGGACTGCAATCATAGCGGAAGGATATTGGGTGTAGCCCACCCGAATCAAATGCACAAACACGAAGCTTTTCGATGTACTTTATTTTCGTCAGGTGGGGACAGCCGGCTACGGTTCCGCGACATTTGGTATAGTAGCCGAAACCACCACCAATTTGGCTACCGGTTCAGGTGGGCAAAGATTGGCACAATGGTTGTGACTGATTTGATGGTCAAGTTGGTGCTAAACGTTGTGAGATTGGATTGCGACGCACAATCTCAATGTAATAGACGGTGGTTTACATTTAAGTGAAATTTAGTCACTTCGAACACTGCAACCGTACTCAAAGCAGATGGGAATTTTGTGTTGTTCACACGAAAACGCTCACAACCGCAACTGGTTTCGAGGTAGTTTCATCTCATCAAGTAGAGACAGCAAGCCTCGTTCCCGCGACCATTTAAATACTAGCGGTAAACTCTGCCGCTTAGGCTACCGGGTCACGGTGAGCAAATATTGGCACAACGGTAATGACTAATTGCATGGACGATTTTTGATTACACGTTGCTTGATTTGAGTGCCACGCGTAATCAAAATGTAATGGACTGTAGTTCACATTAAAATAATCCCAAGTAAGAGCGATAACTGGAACCGTACTCCAACCAGATTGAAAGTGTTTTTTGCTCACTAGAAAACACTGCACAACCACGAAACGTGTTTTGTAAATTCTTCATGTCCGTTGGTGACAGCAGGTCTCGATCCGTCACTATTCAATTATTAGCCGAATCCTCAACCCCTTTAGCTTCCGGTTCATGGTACGCAACATTTGGCATATCGGGGATGATTATTGGATTTTCAAGTTTGGACTGCACGTTGTATGCTTAGATTGCAACGTGCAATCACAATGTAATTGATTCGGTTCACATTGAATTAAACTTTACTAACGGCATCCACTGCGTCCGTACTCAAAGCAGATAGGAATTGGGTGTTGCCCACCAGAAAACACTGCACAACCACGACGCGTTTCGATGTAATTTCATCTCATCAGGTTGAGACAGCAGGCTTCCAGAGAACCACTATTGAAATAGTAGCCCAAACCTATACTAATTTGCTACCGGGTCAGGGTGGACAACGTTGGCGCTGCGGTTATGTGTAATTTGATGGTCAAGATTTGACTACTGATTGTGTGATTAGATTACGACGACCAATATCAAAGTTATAGACTGTGGTTTACAATGAAGTGCACCTTAGTCACGACCATCACTGCGACCGTACTCCAAGCAGATGGAGGTTAGGCGTTGCCTACTGGGACCCTACACAACCACGACGCGTTTCGACGTAATTTGATCTCGTTACGTGGAGACAGCAGGCCTCGATCCCGCAACCATTTGAATAGTAGCATATACCAATACAAAATGAGCTACTGGTAACCGGGGGCAACGATTAGCAAAACGGTGATGAAAACTTGACTTTGAGATATGGACTACACGTTGTGTGATTGAGTTGCGACGCGCAGTCTCAATGTAATGGACTGTGGTTCACTTTGACGTGTTCCTTAGTCTCGGCCATTACTGGTGCCCTACTCAAAGCAGAAGGAAATTGGGTGTTGCTTACCCGAAAACATGGCACAACCACGACGCCTTTCGATGTAACCTAAAAGCATCAGGTGGAGACAGCAAGCCTCGATCCCGCGACCATCTGAATAGTTGACGAAACTTATATCCTTTGGGCCACCCATTTAAGGTTGGCGTAACTGTAATGATTAATTGTATGGTAAAGTATGGACTACACGTTGCGTGATTTGATTGCGACGCGCAAACTCAATGTAATGGACTGTGGTTAAAATTAACGTGAACCTCAGTTACCGCAATCAATTGTACCGACCTTATAGCCGATGGATAATGGGCGTTCCGCTCCCGAAAACATTACACAAACGCGACGCGTTTCCATGTAATTTCACCTTATCAGGTGGAGACAGCAATCCTAGATCCCGCCGCCATTTTAACAGTACTGGAAACCTCTACCACTTTTGCCATAATATCACGGTGGGCAACGCTTGACACATCGTTAATGACTAATTGGAATGTCAAATTTGTATAGCACGACTTGTGAGTGGATTGCGACGCTCAATCCTAATGTAATGGGCTATGGTTCAGATTGATGTGAACTTTAGTCACGACGATTACATCGACCGTACTCAAAGCATATGTAAATTGGATGATGCAAACCTAAATACACTACACAACTACGACGCGTTTCGATGTAGTTTCATCTCATTAGGTGAAGACAGCAGCCCTCGATCTCGCGACCATTAGAATAGTAGCCGGAACCTTTACAAACTTGGCTATCTGGTCACGGTGGGCTTCGATTTGCACACCGATAATGACTTATTGTAATTTACGTTTTAACTGCTAGTTTTGTGATTGCATTGCGAAGCACATTGTCAATAAAATGTACTGAGGTTCACAATGAAGTGAACCTTAGTCACCGCGATCATTGGGATCGTACTTCAAGCATATGGAAATTGGGTTTCGCCTGCCAGATAGCACTGCATATCTACGACGCGCGTCGCTGTAATTGCGTCTCCTCTGGTGTAGACTACATGCTTCAATCACGCGACCAATGGAATAGTCGCCGAATCCTCAAGGTATTTGGTTACCGGGTCACCGCGTGTAACTCATGGCACAACGGTAATAACTAATTGGAGGGTCATGTATGGACTACAAGTTGTGTGATTGGATTGCGACGCGCAAACACAATGTAATGGAAAGTGGTTCACAGTGACAGAGTTTGTGATTTGAATGCTTGATTTCCACTACAATCGAACCGAGGTCTCAATAGAGGTTGATTGTAGCAATCAAATCACCAGCGGAATCTCCATGCCCAACTTTGCATTCGTTTCCGATGAACAAAGGGTTGCCCGAGTATTTCAGACGCATAGCGCTTATGACGTTAAACATGAGCCAATATTCTTAGAGTTCCAGCCTAACTCTGACTATCTAAAATTGATGGAGAACCATTGAAAGCCGTTCTACAATATATAGTAACCATGTCTATCTTGACAATAAAAGCACTTGGTACACGCG